GCCTAAAGGCTTGTATAGTCTGGGCGAATGCCCAGAATAAGCGGTTCAGGATTAGCTCACCCGGGTTCATTGGGTTTGGACGTTCTCTCCGCCAAACTTGAGTCCCCCTATTAGCACTTGCTATCTGATGAAGCATTTTGGGGGCATAAGAATAGGCCTCCTCATAGGTACCATACAAGTTCTTGAATATATTTTCCTTCGCACGCCTAGCCTTGTTGTAGCTGACAGGGAAGCCAATTTGATCATCTGCATCTTTTTGCAGAGCCCTAACACTAATGTTGAGACTTCCCTGCACAATCGTTTCCATCATCTGTGCCACATATCTTGCTGTCACATTGCAGTGATTTGAAAGTCCCAGTTTGCTCACAGGTATGCTTCACTATTTTTGTAATATGCCATGACTCACATACCCCAGGCTTCAGTCTAGCGAGAACTCTTCCGCGGCAACCTTTCGTGATGTGGATGCATATGACCTTCAACTCTGTTTTATCAGACTGCTTCACTCTATGCTGGTGGTGGATACCAATTGCATAGCTACTCATTGCCTGGTAAGCAGACTTCTTGTCTGGGAAAACTTGCCCAACCTCCAGGCTCCCCGCTCCTAGACCAGAAGCAGAGTGAAATTCATTGGTGATGCTCATATCCTGTAAAAACCCAGGTTGCAGTGCCACCGCGACCGCCCTCTGAGGAGGAACATCTTCTTCTTTGCTTGACTCCGAAGACGCAGAAGAATGATCATCATCATCTAGCGCCTCCGGCAATCCCTCCACGTGTTCGCTCATGTCAACGGCCGCAGACCAATATCATGTGTCATACACAGGCTGGCCGCCCGTCGGTTCCGATGGGCCGACGCTAGGGGCTGATGTGATGGCCAACTCGACCTCACCAACCCTACTACTGCATCCGGCAACATCAGTGACTGAAATGAACTTCACATACACCATCGGCTGACCATACATTGAGTTATTGGGATTGCTTGCAAACCTCATGTACGACCCCCAGGACCGATCACCCGTGACAGGCCGCAAACCCCAACGGAAGCTGTCCCATCATTTCCTCTGTCAACGACGAAGGCCTCCATTGTCATCTTTTCCCCTGCATCCCTGGGCCAAACACCGCTCGGATGCACCTTCTAACTTCTGCGTAACCCACGTTGACCATGTCTCTCACTACAACTGTAGTTGACTCGCAGAAGGACACATCCACCCTGAAAGGACCGTCACGTAAGACTTTCCCATAGTACACTACTAAATTTTTCATAGTACCTAACCAACACACATGTCTACATTTCAAATAATTAGTAACTGAACAATTAGTACTAGTACGATGACAACATTTACATATCATACGACTAAAATAATAATCGTATTTTCGTTACAAATATTCGGTATTTAAAGATCTATTTTTTCTCAAACTCGTCTACGAGCGTAACAAACTAAAACTCTGTTTGCTTTTCTCTAACTACCCCAAAAATATCCTAAAGTGGTTCTCGTAACATGCAAAAACTGAGCTTTTGGAAAAATTAGTAAAAACTAATTTTCTTACAACATGTTATGACAAAACCGAGGGTAATGACTCACTATCCAAACAACCACTAAACATAATAGTACAATAATAACATTTTAATATCATATGAGTAAAACATTTAATTTCTTCCGGCTTTATATAATTTTTTCATATCATACAATAACAATCATTTATTTACAAATAATAATATTTGCAGCGGCATGCACATTATTCACAACAGTACATCAATATAAAAAATATTAACAAAATTATGGTGTCATTTTATACCTTAGCTCCAATATGGATGTGCTTGCGAATGCAATTAAGCGTCAAAATAGTTCAAATAAATATCCGTCACCAGTACTATATGAACGGAGTCAACCTATTATCACATGAACATCAATATTACACGGATTTGTCTTTCTGCTATCAAAAGTATGAACATGGTACTTGCATGTATGTGGTCATCACCTCAAAAGGGACAGCGAAGATGGAAACACAATTTCTTCAATCACATCATTTCCTCCTTGTTTGCTACTAAGATGAATTATTTTACCTAATTACATACATCATGAAGTACATTAGCACCTAATCTTAACATATAAAATTTAGATTATTGCAACATAACAAAGTAGACCTAAGGTTTCCTAACCATAGACTTATTAATAAACATACCACATGAAATAACATATACCACATGCAATGAACAATTACAGTACAAGTTTTTCTTAATTACCGTATTAAGATTTCTCACATGTCAATACTAATGGATGCACCCTAACATTGATACAACATCTTTAACCTACTCTTCTAAAAAAATGTTATAAATGCTACATCTGTCGTCTGAAATTATTTCTAACCTCTAAGCACTAACATTGCATAGTTAATAACGAGCTAAAAGACTAACTAATTACCACCCTGCATGCACAAAAAAATCAATGTATTGCAAAGCTCATACCTTGATCTTCAACTTCGTAGTTCACTTTGCTAGGCAAATCGTACTCCTGAAGCTCTAAATGACTCCAAAAAGTGATGAAATAATGCCTAACAAAACAGATAACACATAGTTATGAACTAAACAAAAAGAGTAAAAACATCATGCATGCAAATGAAACCAACAAAAATGAATAGATCTTACCTTCGTCTATCTTTTCTTCAACTTCAACATATTCAAAATCCAACTCTAAATCGCCCTAAATCACGACTGAAAGTGCCTAGTGAGTTTTTCTTTCTCTCTGTTCTTACACACTCATAGGGTAGAAGAGGAGGCCAATGTGCTTGCGCACGGAGCAGAAGCATACTATATAAAAAGAAGAGGATCCCTGTAGTGTCGGCACAACAGGTTCCCGTAGCCTCGGATTCCTGCAACGAGTGAGTGATTCCCGCAGTGCCATCGCATCCGCTGAAGCAATAGTCAGAGTGATTCCTGCAGTGTCGTCGCATCCGCTGAGGCAAGAGAAGCAAAAGCCGGAGTGATTCCCGCCCGTGAAATTCGTCGTCCTCCGCGCGTGAGAATCACCCCACTTTGCAACAGCGAGCCCATGAATTTCGTCGCCGTTGCACGCGTGGGAATCATCCCAGTCTGCAATAGGACAGGTTGTCGGGCACAAACAGCGCGGCCGCCTCACCCGGTGGCGGCATGGCCCACAATCACGTCGCGCGTGTAGCTGTGCCTGTCGGCCTGGGCACGGCATGGGCACGAGAGGCCACCTCACCCGATGGCGGCAGGGCCCACCAGGCTTGCCCCGTTCCGTCCCGGCACGAAGAACTGTACAAAGCACGTTTTAACCGCGCTGCCGCCTCCTGGCGTGGCGGCAGGTGCCACTTGTCGCCTGCCGCCACGGCCCAGGGGGTCTTTTTTGTCAATTTCGTCTGGAGGGGGTCTTTTCTGGCAATTCCAGTGGGCAGGTGGTCTGTTTCGACAAAAAATCGATGATATAAAATACTCGATTTGCTAAGCTAAGCAAGAAAGGAATGAACGTATAGTATCTCGACAGTGGCATTGGCAAACATCTTCTACTCCGGCATTGGACTTGAACGTGAAACCGCACCTCTGAATCAACTTTTTTTTTTGAAACTCCCACAGTATTTTGTATTAAATGAAAATGCAGAAAACAGGGACCACAGTCCGAACACAATGTTTTCAAGATTACATGGTCACAATATCGAAGAGAAGGTGGTCCGAGCATACTACACTAGAAAGACAAGCAGCTAAAAGGGAAATTACAAAGAAGAGCACCAAAGACAGAGAGCTTGCTTCTTGGAGGCCTTGGTACGATGGGTCTCAAGATTAAGGGTCAGCAATGAAGAGAGCCTCCCAGGGCAGCTACAATGGACCCTTTTTTGCTGAAAACTGAAGGCATTTCTTATTTTTCAAATGCTCATATAATCATCTCCGAAAAACAGGGCACAGTTTTGGATCTAGCAAAGATTTGAGCCAACGTGGCCGCCAGAAGCCGGGTCACTTTAGCAATAGACCTAGAACTATAAGCAAAAGGCACTAAAAAAACCTAGATGATCCAACACACTAGAAGAGCGCGAAGCACGGTTAGGGCCAATTTCTGGAAGAATCAAGTCTCTTAGGGCAACCACTATGTGCCCAACGCCATATTGGCCACATAATCGCTCATGTCTTCTCTTTAAATTTGTCCATCAGTGGTAACTGAGCAAAATCTTTTTTTGTTTCAGTGGCATGCCTGCTCTTTCAAATCTTTGGCAAGATTGGATCAACATGTCAGCTGAGTAAACTTGATGCTTCCACGGAAGCCATCAAGTAACACAGAGCACCTGATGCAACTGTTCAAAGGCCAATTCAGAAAGGGGCCCTCTTGAAGCGCAGGTTGCATGGACGTGCCTGGATCATGGGCAAAGGAGTATAAACTGGGGAATCTTCACTTGGCCTTCTCACCAAACATCCTTCAAAAACAACATGCACGACCCAAGATCAAGGAACGCACCTCAAAATACCCCCAAAGAGTGCCACCAGAATTATCCAACCCCACAGACACCTTGCAGAATTTAAACAGGTCAAGCAAAAGCAAACAAAAATTAGAGGGGAATGGCACAATCTACTATATTTGCAGTAAAAACCAAGCCCGCGAGATCTTTGTGCAAGGCAAACTAGCTAAACAGATCAAGCAAAGTTCCACAGAAGCAAACCTTCACGCATAATCAACACCTGACACCCAACGAGAATGCATACAGACACAGCAGCAGCAGCTCAAGCAACATTACAACAGGACCTACCTCAAGCCCTTGCATCTCCGACATCAGGATTTATTCAGAAAATGTATTGGTTTGGTTCCAAGGCAAGAAAGAAAACACAAGAGTAGGATGCACATGATGCTTTAAGCTACAATTCTTCTATCACATGACAGTTTGGGCAGGATGCTAATCGCTACAGCGCATCAGGTAGGTAGGTTCAGAAACACGCAGGCTAGCTACTGCATACAACAAAACAGGAGAACGGACCAGAAGAAGAAGCCCCCATGGTTCTACTGCCCCTCTTTTGATTCTGACCTATCAGCCTTCCCACCGTTATCCCAGCCATCCCAGCCGCTCTGCCTGCTGTTGGGCCTATCCTGCTGCCTCTCGCTGCCTGACACTTGACGATCAAAATGTTTATCGTTTTGCCTGTCATGCTGAGGTCTCTCGTTGCTCGAAGGCCGCCTGTCATGCTGAGGTCTCTCGTTGCTCGAAGGCCGCCTATCAAAGTGGCGATCGTTTCTCTGTGAATATCCCTCGTCTCCTGGCGTATGGGAATAGGAGCAATGCTCTTTGTTGCAGCGACCAGACCTCTGGAAGACATGGCACGGCGGCCGTGACCCCCGACCCCCAGACTGAGGCCTCCATGACCTCCCACGCGAGCCACCACCATTAAAATCCTGCTGGTTGTTCCATGTCGGGTTCCCACTTGGTGAATTCCAGTTCACGTTATTATTCCCCTGGCCTGTGCCATTTACAGGGTTAGGACCTGAATTTCCCTGCGGAGGAGCACTCCAGCCACCGGCATTTTGACTTGCGTTTCCAACTTGGGGCACCCAACCAGGATAAGAATTTGCATTTCCTTGCGCAATGGCACCGCCCCAAGGGGCCATCGCAACTCCTTGCATCTGAGCTCCCATCATAGCAGCTGCATTTGGAGTCCCTTGGCCTTGATTTGTAGCCCACGCCATATTCAAGTTGGTGTTTCCTGGATTTGGTGTGACCCAGCCCATGTTTTGGACTGCATTTTGCTGTGTTGGCATGGTCATACCCATGTTGTAGCTGGCGGCACCTTGTGCTGGCCAGGGCATGTTCATATTAGTCTGTCCCATCATTCCCCAGGCCATGTTTGCATTACTCTGAAGTGTGGATCCCCAGTTCGTATTTCCAGCCCCCTGAGCTTGGCCAGATGTGTTTGCCACTTGTGCATGTGTCATCAGCTGTGTCGTGTTGGAGGCGTCGGTTGATTGGTTCCTTGCATCTGCAGGTGATCCATAATAACGACGTTAGGTAGGTTTACACTTGAAAACCATAATTCACAAGGAGCAACAAGAGATGTTTAAGATTGAAAACCCCTGAGACTTTGCATTAGAACTGTTGCAAGCAATGAGCTACCTTCAAATTGCTGAGTGTTTGATGGCGCAGCTCCGGGCTGAGCTAGTCCACGATCTGCAAGGAGAAAGAAATAATATACATCAAACTAAAATACATATGTACTACAAATTCCAAATTTCAACCAAATTTTTGAAGCATATAAACCATGCAAAGGGAAATACCATCACCTGAAGACTGCGAATTAACTATTTCTGTGCCCACTGTTGCAGGAGCTGGTACAGGAGTCAGCTGACCTACATTTCCTGCAACCGCATTATTCTGCCCTGAAAAGCCTCCTCCTATGGTTGGCTGAGGAAGTGCCATAGGATTTACTGCAGCACCAAACTGACTTGAGGATGCATTCCAACTTTCAATGAGAGATTGTTGGCTTGCAAAAGCTGCCTGAGGATTCTGCGTACCATAATAACTTTGTGCGCCAGGCTGGATCACAGTTGTTCCAGGATTTGTTGTATCCGGGAAAGACTGTGACTTATTTAAAACTGCTGATTTTGAAATATGTTCACCGGTTTTTGTCCTTTCCACAAGGGAGTCACCAGAGGGTCTAGCACCTACATCTGAGCTGCTTCTCAAGTAACCTCTGTCCGTTTGAGAAGAGCTACCAAGTGGTGGTTCCCACGGAGGCAGGTCTTTCTCAAACTTCCCAGCCAAAGCATCAGGCAACAATATTGAGTCCTCCTGCTTCTCATTAGACTTCCATATTTTCAAATTATGAGGGAAGTACCCACTGCTGTTCCATTTGCGCAGCTGAACTATTGAAAAGGGGCCTTGGATTTTATTAGAGGGGTCCATGTACTGCCATATCTTTTCAGACTCATTGACTGTTGACTGTGATGCTGGCGTTGGCGACATTAAATTAGCCGTTAGAGTTTGAGATGAGATAACAGATGGCCCATGTGGAGTATTAGCTGCCGTGGCTTCCACATTAACTTTTTGTGTACTGACGTTTGGACTCTCTGATTTACCTGTGTAACCAGCACTTTCACCATGAGAAGAAAATGTAGATCTCCGTCCATGAGGCGATTCCAATTGTGTACTTGACCATGTGTTTCGGTTTGACTCCCAGTTAGTTCTTGAATCTCGTGCAGCGTTCCTACCCTCTCCTTTACCAGGAGACACTGGATTGATATCTTTCCTAGAGAAAGAACCTCTCGGCCTACTGAAGCTACCTGTATAAAAGAAGAATGGAAGTCGATGCCAGACTCATAAGAAATTTGAATCAGGAAAAGAAATTACGGCAGAACAAAGCAAAATCAAGTTAAGTACTTCTCTCAGCATCCTCCTCTGGTTCTTCTGGAGATTCATAATTCGGATCCATGGCGGGGTCAGCATGTATTTCAGGTTCTTCCTTTAGCCTACGAGCACGCTCCTCTGGAGTACTTAGAAGCTTCAGCTTCTCTACACATTCTCTAAGCGTAAATACTGGTCAAGGCATGCAAGCTAAATTATCATACAACAGAAAGATATGCATCCTCATTGCAGAAAAAACTAAACTCAAAATACAAACAAACAAACAAACAGAAGAAAGAGAGGAGAAATATGACCATAATCTTGAATCATGATCTACAGAAACAACTAAATATTGATTGATCAAATAATGTCAAAAAGGATATTCTTTCCTATGGCCCATATCGCTGGCACGGTCACGAAGATGCGCAAGACGCATCTTTTCACTTTCAATCCACTGCAACGATCCAAATGCCATTCATGAATAAACAAATGAAATAGAAATGGTTGACTGGAAATACTAGTTGCTTACATCATTGACTTTCACAGACTGGAGAACCCTTGCCTTCTCCTGAATCTCTCCCTGGAAGATGGGATGGTTACAATAGAAAAACAGTGCACCGTAACACAAACACAACATAATAGTATGTAATAACAATAACATTACCACCGTCAGTCTTGAAATGAATCCACACTTTATGCTTTGCCGTAAACGTTTGCATTCCTCCTACAACAAGAACAATGATAGCAATCAGCAAATGCAAATACATCTACTGAATAAGCGCATTGCTTATATCATTATAGTAAAAGGTCGGTTACGTCAGCACCAATCACTTACTAACAGTATACAAAGTTACAGTAACTTAAACCAATATTTACTCCATTCCAATGAATAAGGCGCGCACACATCCCAAAATCAAACTTTGACCATAAATTAGACCAATATAATATATATTTTTGTGACTTAACAATTTACCACTGAAAACTTCTTGCGAATACGAATTCAAGGATATAATTTTTGTCATGCATAACCAACATTTAGTTGGTCTAATTTATGGTCAAAGTTCAATTTTGGAATGTGCGCGCCTTATTCATTGTAATGGAGGGAGTAATTCAGTACAGAAGAGAACTATAAAACCAAATATGGATTTCCTATTGAGTAGGACTATCATATTCCTATTGAGTAAAGAAAATACCTCAGTGAATTCTTGATTTGAGGTTATGTCAATAGTAATAACCTCTTTCTTGTCCAAGTTTAGTATCTCTAATGTTATGTCAGTTGCCTTTTTCCCACATTTATACTTCTCAACAGCTGTTCCAGTCCCTGCGCACAAATAAAGAAAAATTCAGCAATCAGACCCATGAAGAGCTGAATCTGACAACTGTTGTGAAAGTGTACCATCTTACCGACAATCTGCACAAGTCGATAGATGTCTTGCCTTTGACCTGTACCAGATATACGTATTCTCACAAATGCTCCAAGAACCTTCTCATTAAATGTGTCAGCATCACCTATCAACTCTTCCATTAGGTTGCGACGCAGGTATATCAAGCCGATATTATGGTTGTCTATCGCGGCAAAGTCATCAAGGTTCGTTTGCAGAGCTCTGTGATCATACTTCCGTGATTTCCTTCTTTTTTCTGAACTCATCACAACTGATGCTTCACTGTTACCATCAGCGTCCTGGCTAGGATCAGGGTCTACAACACCACCATGGTTGCCATCGATATCAGCTGGTGAGACCTCAGCCAAAGGAAAATGAGATTCAAGAAGCTTCAGCATTTCAAAATGCCCAACACGTTCTTTCCCAGAGAGACTTTGGAGCCAAGAATCACAAACTATCATGCTTTTCCCGCGAGGATCCCGCAGATTTTCACGTGCAATATACTCAAGTACAAGGCGTTGAACTTCATACTGAGATAACACTGATTTGTCACCATTCCTCATATGTGCAACAAAATCCAAGAGCTCCTTTGAGGCCCAACTAGCATCCTCAGCTGAGGATGTCGATGTCCCCACACTTTCAGATTCTTTTGGTCCATGATCACTGCTTGAAGCATGCTTTGACAGTTGTCTAGCCTTTGCACCTCTAGGCTTCTTAGGCTTAGCATCACGGCTAACTGAGCCTTGTTTAGTATATTTACGAGTGGTGCCTTTCCCTTTGGAGCTGTCCTCGTCAGCAGCACGCTTTAATCGCTTCTTTCCCCTCGTTTTTGGTGAACTGTCTGAATTAGCCTCCTCTTCATCATTAGCTTCAGGTAGTTCACTAAGATGAGATCTATTATTTAGACGCCTAGCGGCTGATACTTCTGCATATGGCAATGGTAACTTCTCTTTCAAATTCAGCCAATAATCCTTGAACAAAGACCACCAGCTATCTTTGTCATCAAAATCTACATCCTGTTAAGTGCAGTCGTATAAGTAGAAAGTATGAGCACCAGAGAAACATTAATAGATCATTTCATGCATGTAAAGTTGCTGACATGACAACTGGTCAGCAGGAAAAGAAGACATCTTACAAGCAATTTGCAGCAATACTAAGTTAAATGGACATGTCATGACAACAAAGCAGAAGGAAAGAACAAGCAGAAGCTAAACATAGACTAACCAACCAAAAGCTTCCCGGCATCCTAAGTCTAACTGGAATATAAGAATGGACAGATGATTAATCAGCATTTGAAACAGAATAGGTCATTTGTGCAACATGCCATTGTTTTCTCAACATGGGTGTTCCCGTATGTATTTAGTCCCCTAGCCAACATCACAACCGTGGATTAGGAATATGGATAGTTGTAATCTTCTAAATACTGTTGTCTACCCGCCAGAATCTTCTCCCAGCAGGCCCTCCTGTTGCGGATCCAGTGGCACACTACAGCATCTACAAGTTCAAGAGGACCGATATAGCATATGCCATGAAACAAGTATGCTTGCATATGCACGACCCATGCGAGCAGCACCTCCCCCTCGCCAAGCAGGTGATTTCATACCTCAAGAGCGCACTTTATCATGTCCTCCAGCTCACAGCCTTGTTGACCAACGCTCTCATTGCCTACACCGAAGCAGACTGGACACATACCAGGTGTGCAACCTCTGGTTTACTGTCTAGGTGATTTCATACCCCAAGGGCAACTTTATCATGCCCTCCAGCTCAGAGCCTTGTTGACCAACGCTCTCATTGCCTACACCGAAGCAGACTGCGAATATACCAGGTGCGCAACCTCTGGTTACTGTCTAGGTGATAACCTTGGACGTGATCCTCCAAACGATAAAGCATGGTTTCCCACTAGAGTGCGGAGACCAAGTACCATAAGTGGCTAACAATGTCATCAAAGCTAGCTGGGCCGGCAAGTACTTCAAAACCTGCAATGACCCTACTCCAAAGCAACGGTTGTTTACTGGTACAATGTACATGCCATGTAAATGTCAACAGCCCGTTCATTATTCATAATTTATATCACTTCTTCCATAATCTTGCTTCCATGGGGCAAGTTCGTGTTCTGTGTGTGCCTTGTGCACCTCAATAATGATCAGAGGTGCACCCATAAGTAGGGTTTCATTTGTTATCCTGCAGCTTATCCGCGGATGCACCTCAATAGTTTTTAAAGCAGACCACCCAATTATGGCAGCACGGGAAAATAATTACCGTCCAATGCAAAAAACAACAAAATTAAATGATTTGAAGCCATGACAGGTCTGAATGCTAATGCAGAAATTGCATGCAAAAAAACATTCAAACATTTCATGAATGCAGTATACCAAGTTCTAGCACAATAATACAGAACAATAGTTATTGGTACACCGTACATGTTCAGTTGCATACTAGTTAGGTTCACCCACTTGATTTTACAAAATCAAAGATAGATCACATGTCAATATGTATGCTTAAATTATGCAGACATCTAAAGAATGAGCATCAAGCTTGCAATCTTTCTAGGTTCAGACCTATCATACGAACAAGAATCACACAGCACTAATGAGCTCCTCAATGCCATAACAGAAAACAAAAAAATATATAAAAAACAAGACATTAGATGAAACCAAGTTACTAAACTCAAAGAAAATATTAGACTAGGGAAGCTAAGAGTGAGGTAAAAGGGTTACCATTTGCTCAGTTGCCTCCTCTTTGTTCTCTATCAGCATCACAGTATTCAGGCATGTCTCACAGAAGCCTTTAGTTCCTCTGACAGAGATGAAGTTTGTCTCTTTAATGCACACTTTACATAACGAGAAGGTACATGTGTAACACATTTGGCGAGCAGGCTTCTGACAGTTGCTACAAATGTGCCACCCTGACAAATTACGCAAAGTAAATGGAATCAAAAATAAGAATTCTGGAGATTTTATATGTAGGCTGAGCATCAATACTAGTCATTGTCTACCTTTACAAAAAAAATCATTATGATTATTAGAGGTAAACTCATGTATCATTGTGAGTATTTCCTAATACATGCATGGAAACAGATAGAAAAAGACCATGCAACAAAAGGGATGCAGCTAATTTCAGTCACGGACAAATAACAAATTTTCTAAATCAGATATATCAAACAGGAAAATTATGTGACAATCCCAACAAAGGAATTGTAAGCAAGGAGGTCCGTTGCAAAAAATTCCTCCTGAAAAACATGGATTTGGGATGATTCATGGTTGTAATATGCAATATCCACAAAGTTGAAATGCAACTATTTAAGAGCACTCGGAAGGATTCAAACTGAAGATCATCACACATACCACAAGTCCATTGGCCCTTTGACTTGAAGAAATCGTCATCCCGATTAATACAAGAAGGATGATAAGCCTTGGGACAAAACCTGAGGACACAAAATGAGCAGTCAACAGCTGTAACATAGTTGTGTATTTTTTAATGGCAAATGAAAAATAACATAGCTGTCGCACAAACCTACGATCACAAATCACAAGTTCACCACCATCAAAGCAAATGAAGCACACCTCCTCCTCATCCTTCCTTTTAACAGATGGCTTCACCACAGCCTGAGCCTTCGAAGATGCACGACCTCGTTTTGGGCGCCCTACACCTCTTCGTGCCAACGGTGGAGGTTCGTCATCATCGTCATCCTCATATATCTGCACATCCTCTTCTTCAGGTACATCACCAGCCAAGTCAACTTCTTCCGGAACACTGTCAGCCTCTTCAGCGATGTTTTGCTCAGCCATATCATCTTCTTCATCTTCTCCAGTCATAGTAACCACATGTTTTTCAACACCCTCCTCATCTGCAACATCATCACCAGCCTCTTTTTCCTGATCTCCGCCTTCATCTACCTGCATGTCCTCATCTGTGGAACCAACACCAGCTGCATCGGTACATTTCTCCTCATTGACATCTCTACTGATGGAAACTGCATCCATCGACGTCCCCGCATCTGCAGAAGCATCACCAGCTGTTACGATCCCTTCATCCTCATTGCCATTTCCAGTTGAGGCAAGAATATCCATCTCTGTGACCTCCTCTGCAACAACATTATCAATCATGTCGAGTTCAGCTTCTTCAGCAACATTTTGGGCAGCCGTGACATCTTTTTCACCCTCAACTCCAGCCGTGCCCTTCTCACCTGCACCATCATCACCAGCTGAAGAGATCTCCTTTTCCTGACTATCAACTACAGTCGGGTCAACTGCATCCACCTGTATGTCCTCACCTGTGGCATTAACACCAACCGCACCGGCAGCTTTCTCCTCATCGACATCTCTACTGATGGAAACTGCATCCATCTGCCTCCCCTCATCCTGAGCATCCATTGCTGCTGCAACCGCTTCCTCTCCATCGTCATTTCCAGTTGAGGGATGTGTATCCACCTCTGTGCCCTCCTCTGCAACATCATCGTCTTCTTTGACAAGCTCTGCATCCCTATCAATTAACTCGGTTGCAGCAACCGCATCCATTGGCGCCCCGTCCTCATCCTGAGCATCCACCCCATAATCACTAACCGCGATATCACTATCCACAATAAGAGGAGCATCGTCTTGTGCACCGAGTCCAAATTGATCAGCCTCGTCAGCACCATCATGAATCCCCTGACTAGTCTGGTCGGAACCGACATCAGCCAGGGAAGCACCCAGGCCTGCGGGATCATCCACAGCGTCAGCGCCCTCCTCATTCGACTGCAACCCAGCGCCGCCAGCGCCCTCCTCGGGCTTCTCATCAGCCGGATCAGAGTCGTCAGCAACACCCACAGTCTCCCCCGCCGCCACGTCGTCTCCAGCGGCCTGGGCGTCCTCCTCAGGCTTCTCGGCCCCTCCGCCGCCGTCGCCCTCCAGCACGATGTCCGGGGTGGTCGGCATGGCCTCCGCTGCGCCGGGGACAGGGACGGGCCTGGACGCACGCAGACTTCGTCGGGGTTAGCCCGGGATTGAAGCGGCCAACCGCCGGATAACCAGACCGAGGGAGCTCGTACCTCGGAAATCAATGCCCGAGGACGCGGGGAGGGCGGGGGCGGCGCGGGGGGCCGACGAGGTGGGGCGGGGACGGCGGCGACGCGCGCGAGAGGCCGCGGCGGGGGTTTGGGGGGCCTGCGGCGTCGGCGGCGAGCGGGGAGCGGCAAACGGCGGCAGCTCTAGGGCACGGCGGCGGTTGCGGCGAGACGACTATAGGAAGGAGGATTTTGGAGCCGCATCGGTTTTGGATTGGAGTTGGGGGGTAGGGTAGGGTACGCTCGGCGTGAGGGGAGCCGTGGCGTGGGAGAGGAAGTGCCACGGACTCTTCCTGTACGGTGCTGGGCCGGGCCGGGCTGCGTGGAGTTTTGGTGTCGGTTGGGCCTGGGGACGAGAGGGCTGTGTCCACCGGGTTGGACATGAACACGGATAAAAAAAAGAGCAACTAGTTAACGAGCGCTCCTTTGAGAGCCTCGCAACGATCAACGCCACTTGGCGCGCTCTCAGCCATTTGCCACGTGTCGTGCTCTGGACGCTCCCTCCGGATTTTATTTTTTTATTTTTTCGCACGCGTTTTTGGCTTTTTAAACGCTTTTTTCAACTTTTGGTTTCCCCCCAGTCTTTCTTAACTTTTTCATCAATTTTTTTTAAAAAAACGTGTTTTCTTTTTCTTTTTTTTTGCGAAAGTCAAGGTTTTTTTCCTGAGAGGCACGGTTGTGCTTTAGTGAGAGTCACGGCCGTGCCTTTCAGAAACGGGAAAAAAACAATTTTTCTGTATTTTTTTTCGCGAGAGTCACGGTTTTGCTTCCGCGAGAGGCACAGTTGTGCTTTCGCGAGAGCCACGGCTGTGCCTCTTGGAAAGGGAAAAATAAAACACATTTTTTGTTTTTTTTTCGCGAGAGTCACGGTTTTGCTTTCGCGAGAGTCACGGCCGTGCCTCTCAAAAAGGGAAAAATACGTGTTTTCTGTTTTTTTTTGCGAGATTCACGGTTTTGCTTCCGCGAGAGGCACGATTGTGCTTTCGCGAGAGTCACGGCCGTGCCTCTCGGAAACGAAAAAAAACGTGTTTTCTGTTTGTTTTTTTTTCATTCCACGAGAGTCACGGTTTTGCTTCCACGAGAGGCACGGGTGTGATTTCGCGAGAGGCACGGATGTGCCACTTTCGGAAAGGGAAAAAATTGTGCTCCCGGTTCAATTTTTTCGTCCGGTTTTTTCATCCTTTTTTTTCATAAAAAAGTTCATCAAAACCTATCAATATGGGATCTAGTTTTGAAGATCTCGACGCGAGGAATCCAATGGTAAAAACGGTTCGAGATTTGGACGCTCGGTTTAAAAGACAAAGCGTTTTGAATAAACGGATCTATGAAAAAAGGAAAAACTCTCAGGTTGCGACTAGTGACGCGCTGCATGTGCGCCACTTGTCGCGACCTGGGAAAGTGAAGTGTTCTTTGCAACGAGTACTCCTTAATTAGTGATTTCGCTAAAAAAAAGGAGCGATTGTTGGGCTAGTTTTTTGGGGGGGAAAAGAATTGGCCCATTGTAAGTTGAATGAATTATTTTGTATGTACAAGTCACATTTTTTGTGTAATTCATTTTTTGTGCTAGGTCAGTTTTTTTGTGTAAGTCACTTTTTCGTTGCTATATGTGTTACTGGTTTTTCTTTTACTACACATGCGGACTTTCACAATCTTTTTTACAAAAAAAAGTATGTATATAATGTCTATTGTTAATTCACGTATGTAGTCATGCATTGGTCAAAATTACGGAAAGCAAATGTACGATACCCACAATCAACTTATTAGTTCCATTATGCATAATCATAAACTAAAAGCATCATCAAATCAAAAACAAAAAACAGAAGTTATTCTAAGGTAAAATGAATTAGGGTCATTGGTGTTACCCTAAAAAGAAGAAATAAAATGAAAAAAGACAAAATTTTGCTCACAAATTATGTAGAAACTGCATTGTTCCAACTATAAAATGTGAATTCAATTAATCTGCACTCATAACATAAAAGCAACACTTAGCATGTAGGCAACGACATCCATCGAATGTTGAATGAGTGCCTCGGATCCAACTTGAGAGACATGGTGGATGGATCAGTTTATACATAACTGTTAGTCAAGTGGGTTTCATAAATCATAAATTATAAACAAGAAGCTTCGCCAATTACCATGCTTTGAATCTGAGACATCCATTCAGGATCCAACGGATGTCATTGAGTTTTTCTATTTTTGCACACTAGGTGCTGCTTTTACACTAGTCATTCCCCAATACACACCAGCGCGCACACACACCAACACACTCCAGCACACACACACGCACACGCCAATACACACTTTGGCGCAAAAATATGTACTCCCTCCGTCCAGTGAAAATTGTACATATAAAAATTTCCAGAACAAATTATAGAATGAAGTAAAAAATGCATTGGAAAGGTGCAAGCCACCATATTTCTTCTCTTTAATTATCCAACCCCCAATAAGCTAATTGCATGCAGAAATTAAGGAGACCATGTCTAAAATGTAAATGGTCTTGATTACCGGGTGATGGGAGAGAAGCATTTTTTTCTAGTTGAAAATGCATTAGAAATAATTGGAAAGATAAAAGAACACTTTTTTGTGGACAAATTTGAAAGCCAAACGTACATTTTTACCGAACGGAGGGAGTACACCACCATGCGCAAAGGCACACAAACAGAAAAAGGGGAAATAGGCTTAATACAAGTAAAGAAAAAGTGACTTACACAAAGAATAATCAGTCCATTTACATATAGTCAATGTGCAACAGAAATTGGTCAAAACCGAAGACGGATGGAAATTAATTTGATGTAACTAAGATAAAAAAGACAACATGAATCTTGGAACAAAAAAACAATGGGTGAAGATTTGACTTACACCGGAAAAGGAAAACATGTGACTTACATATAACCCACGTAAAGAAAAGTACAACCTTATCGAAGAAAACAATATATTGTTTCGCTTGCCTCCATTCTAGCGCCGAAAGACGAAGGAGACCGTTGCTCAACGTTCTTCTCTTTTCACTGTTCAACGTTTTGAGTGTGCAGATCTAGTCTAGTGTTGTAAGATTTTGTGTAGGAAACAAGTTTCATCTATTCGGTGTTGTCTAATTCTCTAGACCGGCCAAGATATTGTTTAAGTCCTTCGGGCTTGACACTTCAACTATTCTCGACGATGGGCAACACTCGAAGCAAAAATATGCTAGTTCCGTACGAGGCATGTTACTTTCTAAAAGCTAGAAGATAACCCGTGTGTCGGTAGAAATATAAAAAATGGGGATCAACTATTTACATCTATAGGGTTGGTGTTGTATTAAGGTCTTTTATTTAAACACATGAAGGTTATTCGGTGGACGTCGTGGACTTGATTGTACTGAGCCTTGATATTGAAACCTTCTAAGTGGTAACTTTTAGATTCCGAGAAACCCTAGAATAAAAAAAGGACAATCTTGGGCCAAATTTGTGTTTTGAGGAAATAAGGGCCTTATTTTTACTCTAACCGTATTTGTGGTAAAGTATTATAATTCAACAAGAGTTCCGCGGGCAAACATATACTCTTACATTTCTCACTCTTTAAATTATAAACTTACCAAATAAGACCCTTTTCTTGTTCCCTTTTCCCACACCCAATGAGGAAGATGTTGTTCAGCATGTTCTATTCGATAGTTGTAGGAGAAGAACCCAACTCGGTATCCTCTATGCTATATAACTAAGTAGTTGATCACCACTAACACATTTATCTCAACATGCAACTATGACACCTCAACATGCAACCATGTATGAAAAAAGGATTAAATGTTTATAGTTATACAAGAGTCATATATATTGTTAGGTCTCATGGTATTAATCCAAATACCCATGTTTATAAAACTAAGTCTCGTTGAAATATATTGCAAAATAATTCGTAGTAACGTGTGGGGCATCATATAGTAGTTCTTCCAAAAGAGGAGAAGCGTTACCAAGTCAATATAATATGGACCACCCTTTCTTCTTGAGCCAAAGATAGGAGCTAGGGCAAATTTCTTTTTTATTTTCATTTAAGAGATTTCCATGAATTATGTTGATTGATGCCCCCAAGGCGTTGGAGATGCCTTGTCATCATGTTGTCGACAATGGCGGGTTTTTGCCGAGATCCTCAACCCCAACATCCATGACAAACTATTGAAAGGGTCTCGATGATGGAGTGCAATAAATTTCATCCTCTCTGCTTGGCAAAGAAATTTCAACGCAGTAAGTTATGTCAGAAGATTTTGCAAAGAAGGTGAAATTTGACAATCGATTTTATTCTCTTGGTCATAGTTGTCTAAATACATGAATGGGGATTGATTTCTCAAGAAAGTACAATTACCCTCCCCCCTCTCTCCAGCATCATCACCATAACATCATTTAAAAAAAATTCGTACTTCAATTCACTACCATAATAATCTTGAAAACAAAAATTAATATCACAAAAGTCAAATGTCTTTCTTTTTCGCGAAGTCAAATATCTAAATACATGGTATCATAGCAGACTTCGTTGTGCCGAGAGGCCATGGCGGCCACTACCCCAAGGATCATGGAAGTGCATGACTGGTGCTCTCAAGATGAAAAAATCACTATTTAGGCAAATTGTCTTCATCGTATGGATCTTGTTACATGAAAAAAATCATAGAAAGTAATATTTCTATGGTACATTTTTGTGTGTATGCATCGTGGTATTTTTTTTACAATAACCCCGAAAATCGATCTCTAGTGTTTTTATTTTTGTGGTTTTATGTTATGCATAGACGCCCCACACAATTGAGTAGTCACGATGTCAAATGGTGTTTGCATCACATCATCGGTCAAGTTAGCTGCACAATAAGATTGAGAATCGTGAAGCTCATATTGTTGACGTTGTTGGCATCGACCCCATCACCGATGAGATGCTTTGTCGTTATAATATCTCTTATTCCAACTAATTTATGGCACTGCTAATGACGCCTAATTAAGTTGTTATGCATCTGGGGACAAGGCGCATCGGAGTCGACGGAGGTGTGGTCAGCCCCGGGGCCTCGCCCATCTCCAGACACGTGCCAACGGCGAGACCCCAGTTGAAGTGGCGTTCGAGGCAAGCTAGCGCAATCCCTAGCGTCGGCATCGCAAAGTTGATGGCGGGACAGAGTCGTCGACCGGCACCAAATGGGAGGAGTTGGTAGTCGTTTCCCCTCACGTCCACGTCTGTCGCGTTACCGTTGGCCAAGAACCGCTCAGGCCAAAACTCCTCCGTGTTGGCGAACGTTGCAGAAAACAAAAAATTTCCTACGATTTCACCAAGATCCATCTAGGAGTTCATCTAGCAACGAGTGATCGGATTGCATCTACATACCTTTGTAGATTACGCGCGGAAGCGTTCAAAGAACGAGGATGAGGAAGGCGTACTCGACGTGATCCAAATCACCGGAGATCCTAGCGCCGAACGGACGGCACCTCCGCGTTCAACACACGTACGGTCAGCGTAACGTCTCCTCCTTCTTGATCCAGCAAGGGGGAAGGAGAGGTTGAGGAAGATGGCTCCAGCAGCAGCACGACGGCGTGGTGTTGATGGAGCTGCAGTACTCCGGCAGGGCTTCGCCAAGCACTATGGAGGAGGAGGATGTGTTGGAGAGGGAGAGGGAGGCACCAAAGGCAAAGGTCAAAAGTCCTCCATCTCCCCACTATATATAGGAGGGCCAAGGGGGGGGCACCGGCCCTAGGAGATCTAATCTCCTAGGGGGTGCGGCCAAGGGGAGGAATCCCTCCTCCCCAAGGCACCTAGGGGTGCCTTCCCCCTTTGTGACTCTTCCCTCCTTGAAACCCTAGGCGCATGGGCCTCTTGGGGCTGGTGCTCTTGGCCCATGTAGGCCAAGGCGCACCCCCTACATCCCATGTGGCCCCCCGGAACAGGTGTCCCCACCCGGTGGACCCCCGGGACCCTTCCGGTGGTCCCGGTACAATACCGGTGACCCCGAAACTTGTCCCGATGCCCGAAATAGCACTTCCTATATATAATTCTTTACCTCCGGACCATTCCGGAACTCCTCGTGATGTCCGGGATCTCATCCGGGACTCCGAACAACATTCGGGTTACTGCATATACATATCCCTACAACCCTAGCGTCACCGAACCTTAAGTGTGTAGACCCTACGGGTTCGGGAGACATGTAGACATGACCGAGATTGCTCTCCGGTCAATAACCAACAGCGGGATCTGGATACCCATGTTGGCTCCCACATGCTCCTCGATGATCTCATCGGATGAACCACGATGTCGAGGATTCAAGCAACCCCGTATACAATTCCCTTTGTCAATCGGTATGTTACTTGCCCGAGATCCGATCGTCGGTATCCCAATACCTCGTTCAATCTCGTTACCGGCAAGTCACTTTACTCGTACCGTAATGCATGATCCTGTGACCAGACACTTGGTCACTTTGAGCTCATTATGATGATGCATTACCGAGTGGGCCCAGTGATACCTCTCCGTCATATGGAGTGACAAATCCCAGTCTTGATCCGTGTCAACCCAACAGTCACTTTCGGAGATACCCGTAGTATACCTTTATAGTCACCCAGTTACATTGTGACGTTTGGTACACCCAAAGCACTCCTACGGTATCCGGGAGTTACATGATCTCATGGTCTAAGGAAAGGATACTTGACATTGGAAAACTCTAGCAAACGAACTATACGACCTTGTGCTATGTTTAGGATTGGGTCTTGTCCATCACATCATTCTCCTAATGATGTGATCTCGTTATCAATGACATCCAATGTCCATAGTCAGGAAACCATGACTATCTGTTGATCAACGAGCTAGTCAACTAGAGGCTTACTAGGGACATGTTGGTGTCTATTATTCACACATGTATTACGATTTTCGGATAACACAATTATAGCATGAATAAAGACAATTATCATGAACAAGGAAATATAATAATAATGCTTTTATTATTGCCTCTAGGGCATATTTCCAACAGTCTCCCACTTGCACTAGAGTCAATAATCTAGTTACATTGTGATGAATCGAACACCCATGGAATTCTGGTGTTGATCATGTTTTGCTCTAGGGAGAGGTTTAGTCAACGGATCTGCTACATTCAGGTCCGTGTGCACTTTACAAATATCTATGTCTCCATCTTGAAAATTTTCACGAATGGAGTTGAAGCGACGCTTGATGTGCCTTGTCTTCTTGTGAAACCTGGGCTCCTTGGCAAGAGCAATAGCTCCAGTGTTGTCACAGAAGAGGTTGATCGGCCCCGACGCATTGGGTATGACTCCTAGGTCGGTGATGAACTCCTTCACCCAAATTGCTTCATGCGCTGCCCCCGAGGCTGCCATGTACTCCGCTTCACATGTAGATCCCGCCACGACGCTCTGCTTGCAACTGCACCAGCTTACTGCCCCACCATTCAAAATATACACATATCCGGTTTGTGACTTAGAGTCATCCAGATCTGTGTCGAAGCTAGCATCGACGTAACCCTTTATGACGAGCTCTTCGTCACCTCCATAGACGAGAAACATTTCCTTAGTCCTTTTCAGGTACTTCAGGATATTCTTGACCGCTGTCCAGTGTTCCTTGCCGAGATTACTTTGGTACCTTCCTACCAAACTTACGGCAAGGTTTACATCAGGTCTGGTACACAGCATGGCATACATAATAGAACCTATGGCTGAGGCATAGGGGATGACACTCATCTCTTCTATATCTTCTGCTATGGTCGGACATTGAGCTGAGCTCAATTTCACACCTTGTAACACAGGCAAGAACCCCTTCTTAGACTGATCCATATTGAACTTCTTCAATATCTTATCAAGGTATGTGCTTTGTAAAAGACCTATGAGGTGTCTTGATCTATCTCTGTAGATCTTGATGCCTAATATATAAGCAGCTTCTCCAAGGTCCTTCATTGAAAAACTCTTATTCAAGTAGGCCTTTATGCTGTCCAAGAGTTCTATATCATTTCCCATCAAAAGTATGTCATCTACATATAATATGAGAAATGCTACAGAGCTCCCACTCACTTTCTTGTAAATGCAGGCTTCTCCATAAGTCTGCGTAAACCCAAACGCTTTGATCATCTCATCAAAGCGAATGTTCCAACTCTGAGATGTTTGCACCAGCCCATAAATCGAGCGTTGGAGCTTGCACACCTTGTCAGCATTCTTAGGATCGACAAAACCTTCCGGCTGCATCATATACAATTCTTCCTTAAGGAAACCATTAAGGAATGCCGTTTTGACGTCCATTTGCCATATTTCATAATCATAGAATGCGGCAATCGCTAACATGATTCGAACGGACTTCAGCTTCGCTACCGGTGAGAAAGTCTCATCGTAGTCAACCGCTTGAACTTGTCGATAACCCTTAGCGACAAGCCGAGCTTTATAGATGGTCACATTACCATCCGCGTCTGTCTTCTTCTTAAAGATCCATTTATTTTCTATGGCTCGCCGCTCAACGAGCAAGTCAGTCAAAGTCCATACTTCGTTTTCATACATGGATCCTATCTCGGATTTCATGGCTTCTAGCCATTTGTCAGAATCCGGGCCCGCCATCGCTTCTTCATAGTTCGAAGGTTCACCATTGTCTAACAATATGATTTCCAAGACAGGGTTGCCGTATCACTCTGGTGCGGAACGTGTCCTTGTGGACCTTCGAATTTCAGTAGGAGCTTGATCAGAAGTATCTTGATCATCATCATTAACTTCCTCTCTAGTTGGTGCAGGCACCTCAGGAACATTTTCTTGAGTTGCGCCATTTTCCGGTTCAAGAGGTAATACTTCATCAAGTTTTACTTTCCTCCCACTTACTTCTTTCGAGAGAAACTCCTTCTCTAGAAAGGATCCATTCTTGGCAACAAAGATCTTGCCTTCGGATCTGAGGTAGAAGGTATACCCAATAGTTTCTTTAGGGTATCCTATGAAGACGCATTTTTCCGACTTGGGTTCGAGCTTTTCAGGTTGAAGTTTCTTGACATAAGCATCACATCCCCAAACTTTTAGAAACGACAGCTTAGGTTTCTTCCCAAACCATAATTCATATGGTGTCGTCTCAACGGATTTCGACGGAGCCCTATTTAAAGTGAATGCGGCAGTCTCTAAAGCATAGCCCCAAAAAGATAGCGGTAAATCGGCAAGAGACATCATAGATCACACCATATTTAATAGAGTGCGATTACGACGTTCGGACACACCATTACGCTGAGGTGTTCCAGGCGGCGTGAGTTGTGAAACTATTCCACATTTTCTTAAGTGTGTGCCAAACTCGTGACTCAAGTATTCTCCTCCACGATCTGATCGCAGGAACTTGATTTTCCTGTCATGTTGATTCTCAACCTCACTCTGAAATTCTTTGAACTTTTCAAAGGTCTCAGACTTGTGTTTCATTAAGTAGACATACTCATATCTACTCAAGTCATCAGTGAGGGTGAGAACATAACGATAGCCACCGCGAGCCTCAACACTCATTGGACCGCACACATCAGTATGTATGATTTCCAATAAGTTGGTTGCTCGCTCCATTGTTCCTGAGAACGGAGTCTTGGTCATTTTACCCATGAGGCATGGTTCGCACGTGTCAAATGATTCGTAATCAAGAGACTCTAAAAGTCCATCAGCATGGAGCTTCTTCATGCGTTTGACACCTATGTGACCAAGGCGGCAGTGCCACAAGTATGTGGGACTATCATTATCAATCTTACATCTTTTGGTATTCACACTATGAATATGTGTAGCATTACGCTCGAGATTCATTAAGAATAAACCATTCACCATCGAGCATGACCATAAAACATATCTCTCATATAAATAGAACAACCATTATTCTCGGATTTAAATGAGTAGCCATCTCGAATTAAACAAGATCCTGATACAATGTTCATGCTCAAACTTGGCACTAAATAACAATTATTGAGGTTCAAAACTAATCCCATAGGTAAATGTAGAGGTAGCGTGCCGACGGCGATCACATCGACCTTGGAACCATTCCCGACGCGCATCGTCACCTCGTCCTTCGCCAGTCTCCGCTTATTCCGCAGCTCCTGCTTTGAGTTACAAATGTGAGCAACTGCACCAGTATCAAATACCCAGGAGCTACTACGAGTACTGGTAAGGTACGCATCAATTACATGTATATCACATATACCTTTCATTTTGCCGGCCTTCTTGTCCGCTAAGTATTTGGGGCAGTTCCACTTTCAGTGACCACTTCCCTTGCAATAAAAGCACTGAGTCTCGGGCTTGGGT